GAATCCACCAGGCGCTCCTTGGAAACTCTAAGGGGCAGTTCTACTCTGTCCTATAGGGTTGCTATGAGTAGGAATCGCCTCAATGGCAACGGGTTTGGTTTTTTTTTTATTGAACATTTTACCAGAGGTCTCAACCAATGCAATACAATTTCAAAAATATTTAAGAAGTAGTATATGAAAATAATTGAATACCTACAAATTATTAAATCTAATAAAAGACCTCAGTACAGTCTAGATAAAATAGTGTCCTTTATGCTGGAAAGAGCCAGTTAACAAATGTGATAGAAAAACATACATTCACAACAGCTGTAAAAATCTATAAATTACCTAATAGAATTTTTAAAAGTGATAAAAAGAAATCCATTTAACTAAATCCAAGGGCACAGAAATAATGTTTAATAAAGAAATACATCATGCTTATTAATGGGAAGCCTCAGTATTACATGGATGTTTTCCTCAGATTGATCTATAAATTCAAAGCAATACCAGTCATAATACCAAGAGGATTTAACATGAAGCATGAATAATTCATATAAAATAAATATTGTACAACGTTAGAAAAGACAGTTTTGAAAAAGAATACTGTGGAAGAATAGTTCTTACTCTACTAGATATCAAAATATCTACTGAAGATGTAGCAATAAAAATAGTATAATATTTGTAGAAAAATATCCAAATATATATACATATGTGTGTGTGTATATATATATATATATATAGACTTACTTATATTGTTTTTACATCATTTGCATTGTTTCATTACTATAAATAATACTTCTGATTAGCTTCCTTGTGCATACATATTTTCCCGTAGAAGTTTGATGTGTTTACCTTTTTTTGTTGATACTATTAATATTAAACATTTTCATCATGTGCATTAGCCATTTTTATTTTTTTGTTCATGATTCATATCCATATTCTTCTTGAGAGCTTAATAGTTTGCTGAAAGATTTTTGGGAGTTCTTTATAAAAATGGTTACCTGGTGCCTAGCGTGTAATAAAGACTCAGTAAATGGTAGTTATTATTATTATTGTTAAACATAAGTAATAATGATGATTAAAAACATTTTGTCATGTATGTAAAATCTTTTAAAATTTGTGTTTGCCTTATTTTTATATATGGAATATATATATGGAATGTATGGAATATGTATATAATACATATATATAATATAAATAATCCAAGAAGCGGGACTATATGAAGAAGAATGCAGCATCAAGATTGGAGGAAGACTCATTTACAGCCTGTGATATTCAGATGACATTACCTCACTTGCTTGCTGAAAGTCAAGAGGACTTGAAGCACTTACTAATGAAGATCAAAGACCACAGCCTTCAGTATGGATTACTCCTCAACATAAAGGAAAAGAAAATCCTCACAACTGGACCAATAAGCAACATCATGACAAACGGAGAAAATATTGAAGTTGTCAAAGATTTCATTTTACTTGGATCCACAATCAATGCCCATGGAAGCAGCAGTCAAGAAATCAGACAACGTATTTCATTGTGCAAATCGGCTGCAAAAGACCTCTTTAAAGTGTTAAAAAGCAAAGACATCACTTTGAGGACTAAGGTGCGCCTGACCCAAGCCATAGTGTTTTCAGTCACTTCATGCATGCAAAAGCTGGACAATGAATAAGGAAGACCAAAGAAGAGTTGATGCCTTTGAATTATGGTGTTGATGAAGAATATTGAACAAACAAATCTGTCTTTGAAGTACAGTCAGAATGCTCCTTAGAAGCAAGGATGGCAAGACTTGGTCTCACATACTTTGGACATGTTATCAGGAGGGACTAGTCTCTGGAGAAGGACATCATGCTTGGTAGAGTAGACAGTCACCGAAAAAGAGGAAGACCTTCAATGAGATGGATTGACACAGTGGCTGCAAAAAATGGGCTCAAGCATAATAACGATTTTAAGGATGTCGCAGGACGGAGCAGTGTCTCTTTCTGTTGTACATGGGTCACTATGACTCGGAACCGACTGGGTGGCACCTAACAACAACATATAGTCGCATACTGGTAGGAGAATACTCCCCATTTGTAAGGTTTCTTTCACTTGGAGTATATCCATCAGGATGGGCTAGGTTCTGCTGCAGGAACAAACAATCCCAAGATATCAGTAGATAAGTAACAAAGGATTTTTTTTTTCCTTGAGGGTAAGTTGAGGGGTCTGCTTTGAGGCATCACTCCTCACTCCAGTGATCTTTGATTGTGGGAGTAAATCTGTAAATGAAAAAGCAAGTTAGATGGGTCAGTGGTGTGGGTGTCCTCTGCATTGAGTGGTCTGCCCAGAGAGCATGTACGAATGGTGTGGGGGCTCCATGATACCATCAGCCACAGGCTTCTTCTCCGTTTCCTCCCCAGCCTCCTTAGCATGTGGCTTTTGTCCTTATGCTTCCAAAATGGCTGGTCTACCTCTTCACATTCAGATAGGAATATAAGGGAAAGGACAAAGCACAGACTGTGCAAACCAGATAAGCCTGCCCACTTCTAAAGAGCTCTTCTGTCCAAGCCAGCAACTTTTACATAGGTTTCATTAGACAGAACTGTGTCAGATTCCACTACAATATGTAGGGAAGACTGGACACATCGCCATCCCAAACAAAATCAGGAATATTGTTAGTAAGGAAAGGGGAAAGTTGATCTTATTGAACAACCAGCAGTGTATGCTAGTATTAGTACTAGTATTAGTACTAATTAGTATTAATTAGTACTAGTATTGTTATCTTAAAGAGGAAGCTTTCGTTTTTAGAGATTAAGACCACCCACACACAGTGCAGGGCATTGGTGATTCAGTGGTAGAACTCTCACCTTCCATGCGGGAGACCTGGATTTGATTTCTGGCCAATGCACCTCATGTGCAGCCATCACCCGTCTATCACTGGGGACTTGCATGTTGCTGCGGTGCTGAACAGATTTCAGCGGAGCTTTCACGCTGAGACAGACTAGGAAGAAGGGCCTGGCGATCTATTTCAGAAAAATCAGCCAGTGAAAACCCTATGGATTACAAAAGTGCAATTCAAAACTGATCATGGGGGTGGTGCAGGAGCAGGTCACATTTCGTTCTGTTGTGCATGGGGTCACGGTGAGTCAGGCGGGGGTAACTTGACAGCAGCTAACAACAATAACGGACATAAAGTATCAGAGACAGGATTTGGTCCCAGGTCTGTTTAACTTCTAAAGCCATGCATTTAATA